GAAATGGTTGAACATCAACCAATTCTATTTGATGCAATGATTCTGTGTATTCTTTGTATCTTCTTTTGATGCTTCCTGCTTTGTTCAATATTTTGCCCCTAGAATCCTTCAATATTACAACTTGAGGCTTTAATTTTTTGTTCAGTTTTTTTCAGCTTGAGAAAAGCCAAGGCTGTTCTTCCCTTTTGGTTTTCTAACTCCAGGTCTTTGTGTATTTCTTTACAATTATTTGTCTTGTCAGGTCACATTTTGAAATCTGTTCAGTTCTTTCACTTCATCATTTTTTGCATTCTCTTTATCTACACTATATTCAAGAGCAAGTTTCAGAGTCTCTTTTGACATCCCGTTTTTGTCTTTTTTTTTTTCTTTCTTGTCTTTTGAATGACCTTTTGCTTTCTTCATGTATAATGTCCTTAATGTCATCCCATAACTTGTCTAGTCTTTGGTCATTAGTGTTCAATACATCAAATCTGTTCTTGAAATAGTGTCTAAATAAATGTGGGATATACTCAAGGCTGTATTTTGGCTCTTGTGTATTTGTTTTAATTTTCCTCTACTTCAACTTGAACTTGCATATGCGCAATTGAAGATTTGCTCCACAGTAGTTCTCTGGCTTGTTAAGTACTATAATGAAGACTTCAAGAAAAACAAAGTACTATAATTTGTTGGCAGGCAATGTATTTTCTAGTAAAATGTCCTTCAGCAAGGAGTTTTTGAGTGCCTGTTTGTGTGTTGATGAGTGCCAAGCATTACTAAACAAAGCACTTCTCTGTGGTGTAATGATAGATCTATGGACAGACCCTCTCTTTCCTAATCCAAGCCTCTCCACTAATCCAGGTTCTGAAAGGAAATTATTTGTCCACCAGGATCTGTCTGTCCACTGGGGTCATAAAGAAGTCACCCTCAGCAAGTTGTGGCTTCTTTTTCTGATCTAAGCCTTTTCAGTCCTTTGGCCCCCAGGGATTTGATTTTACATGTTGGGCAGCTCACTTGCTCAAGTGTGAATGTTTCAGTGGGGTCAGAAGAAGTAACCAAAAGTTAATTCATACCATAATTCCTCCAAAGTCTCAATAAAGTGTACAGTTCCCCACTCATAATGTGTACACAGCCTGTTCTACCTAATACAATATAATGTGTTGAGCAGATAAGCAAACACTTGAGTTTAGAAGAAAATCAACCACTATTTCCTCAGTACCAAGAAGTACTGATCTTTCTTTCATTCCAAATTTCTGAGGAAAGTTCAGTTTACATGAATAAAACTTAAGAAGTTGTTCTGAGAAACTGAGCTCTCAGGAAAATTAATTAAGTCCATAAACTCTTCTATCTTTCACTGCATTATTCATCCATTATTATTAAATTCTTCCACCACCTGTCTGTCAGTTTGTTGTGCTATGGTGGCTTGCATGTTGCCATGATGCTGGAAGCTATGCTACCAGTATTTAAAATACTAGCAGGGTTATCCATGGTTGCCAGGTTTCAGTAGAGCTTCCAGACTAAGACTAGGAAGAAAGGCCTGGTGATCTACTTCAGAAATTAGTCAATAAAAATCCTATGAGTCACAAATATTGTCTGATAAAGTGCTGGAAGATGAGCCCCCTATCTTGCAAGGGAACAGTGGATTCAGGCATGTCAGCAATCATGAAGATGGTATGGGATCAGGCAAGTTTTCACAATCTACTTCCGTAGAGACACCACCTTGAAAACCCAAGAAGGGGTCGCTATGAGTTGGAAACTACTTGACAGCAGTAATTTTTTTTTTTTTTTTTTTTTTTGGTACATGTGGTCATTATGAGTTAGAGCAGACATGACAGCAAGTAACAACAATTAAATGCTTATAAGTGATGAGCGTAAGATCACTTAACAACTAACATTCTGGGGTATCATACAGGTTTCTAACATGTATGTTACTAAGATTATAATTTATTTTATTTTCTCTTTTCTCATGAATAGTACATTCTCACTGCCGTTGAGTGGAATCCTACTCATAGTGAACCCTCCTTGGGTTTCCGAGGCGGTATCACTATGGAAGTAGATTGCCCAGTCTTCCTTCCAACGAATGGCTAGTGGGTTTGAACCACTAGCTTTCTGGTTAGCAGTCAAATACCTTAGGCACTATGCCACCAGAGCTCCCATAGTACATAGGAAAGACAAGTGAACATTCCTTAGGAATTCCAGGAATAGTGTTTTTAACTGATCAATGTTTTCATTTGCTTCTCTCTTAGTCCTTAGGGGTAGACATTAAAATAAGGCTAAATATGTTTAATTTTTAAAAGATATAATAAAAATATCATAGTAGCTTAATATCCAATAATGTCTGAATCCTCCCAGTTCCCAGAGCTATTTTTGGTCTTTAGGGAAAATATAACTTCTATTTCCTCTTTCTCAGTCTTGGTATGCCCCATTAAACTTTAACCTGTCTCACCACACTCTTACAGCTCATTCTCCATTCTCAGGGTCCAAGATTCTAAAAGGAGGAGGCTCCTTTCACTGTATGACTTCAGGCAAGTTTCTGAATTCCTGCAGGCGTCCACTTGCTCATCTGTTTAGGAAGAGAAGAGGAGGGATGATTTCTAACATCCCTCTCAACGCTACTGTTCTATGATTCTCTAATGTTCCAAACCATATTCTGTTCATTTCCATGGGAGAAGCTTTAACAATAGAACATATAATGAGATTTGAAGGGAATATTTTCTATGGCATCCAGAGAGTTTGGAAGACATGAGTCATCTAATTTTCCCCTCCAGTCATAAATTGGTAGCAAGGAAATAAAGACTGGGGTTTGGGGCATGTTATAGACTCTGAAAGCAAATTGAGTTTTTAAAGCCAGGAGAAGATATTTTAAGGCTAGAGTATTATTTTCACTTTTTGATTAATGACATAAGGGAAAAGCCATGAATGTGACCAGCAGTTAATACTTTCATTACCAATTAAGAATTATAACCATTTACCTTTCAGAATTAAATTTAATTCTCTTTAAGATAAAATTTCCCTTCATGTAATGTTCCAAATTACTGCTTCCCATTTGAAATTGGGGAGAACCTCTAATTTACTAGACTGCTTGGCTTTGTCACTAAGAAGGTTAAGATCAAGGTCACAATTTAATAACATTAGTTTTCTTTTGTTCCAAAGCTACAAGTACAAATTTAACCCTGCTGGCTTTTCTCAAAAAAAATGTGTGAACACTGGGCCAAAGAATATGCAAAGCCTTCATCTCTACAGGAAAAGTAATTCACAGGTTGGCTGTACTAACAGTAGGAAGCACTGGCATTTTGGTCAAGCAGAACAGCATGGTGTCACGGTTGCCCTGGAAATTGAGTTGCCAAGTCTGGGTTAGTGTTGAGATGCCTAAAACAAACATGGTACTATGCTAGCATCCGAAGTATATTTCCTCCTTATTCTCAGTAGAAGCATTGAGTCTGGCCCCTGGATAGTCACCAGCACAGAAACGAATATATGTGGCCTGTTTGTCCTCCTGCTGGTTCTTTAGACTTCTGTTATGGATACATATTTTCTTTTCAGCAAAGTGAAAACATTAAAAAAGAGATGACTTCTCTATTTCATTCCATAACTTCTAAGGAAACCAGAATGCCTGAGACTTTGTGTTCATTGTTGTTGTTATGTGCCGTTGAGTTGGACCCTCCTTGGGTTGCCGAAGCACTATCACTACGGAAGTAGATTGCCCAACCTTCCTTCCGAGGAGTGGCGGGTGGATTTGAACCGCCAGCATTCTGGTTAGCAGTCAAGTGCCTTAGGCACTATGCTACCAGAGCTCCTTAGTTAGGGTAAATCCTGAGATTAATAGCTGAACTTCATAAGCTCTGTGACCTCTTAGAACACTGATTTCAAACATACCTTCATCACACGTTCTAGAATCCTATCTCTCTCTTGGCTTGCATCCTTCTACACAATAAGGATGCTCAAACACTAACTACATATATTTTAAAGTCCACATCATGGTATGATATTGACAAGGAAAAAAATACGCATCAAAATTCTGAAGATACTCTCTTTTTATTTAAAAATACGGAAATAACTCAAAAATTTGAACCTCAAGGATGAAAATACATTTGAGACAAATGTTCAGAAGATGAGGCAGCCTGCCATTTTGGCACTGAGCTTCATATGGACAAGTGGATGTCAGAGAATGATGTCTGCAACATGGCTGAAACTATAGCACACCCACAAATAGATTCATACTCGGTTTTCTAATTTGCATGCATGAGTATAGCGTGTTCTCCATGCCACTAGAACATATATGCCTTTTTCAAAGTCAGTGCAGGATCTATGTTTGTGCAGGTCTTTATAAGTCTGCTTGGTTACAAAAAATTTACCACAATTTATCTGAGAGCTTTCAGGTGACAAATTCTTTTTGCCACCTTTATTTCCCAAAAGTCAATTCTAAATAAAAATTATAGCTGTCCAGAGTTCCAGTATCACATAAAAGAATCCATTTGTTAGTTATTTTTAATGTCAGTTAGCTAGTTGTGAGTAAGCCTGGCTAAACACATCCACATGCTTGGTGTCTGGGATTTGAAATTGGTAACATTTTAGCAGCAATGGCAACTTTAGACCAAAATGACAAGATTTTTTAAAAAGCAGCAGAAGACGTTCTGGAAAGATTTGAGCTTTCTTGCTTTCCAAAGTGAAACAAAGCACCAAACAATGGTGGCCAGACCTACTCTTTCATGAATACCCATTTTTTTTGCATTAATGTTGAATTGTTGAAAACCCAAACAGCGATCAGAGACAAGGGGGAAATGGCTAAATCTGAAAAGGAACCCAAAGAAATTGTACCAGGGAAAGGAGATGGGAACCAAAAACAAGTTCCTGAAGTATCTCTGTGTCAACAAGCATTTAGTCTTTATTACTAGAATATGCAGAATCCCGTGGGAATTGCTGCATCTTTCGTGCCTTAACTCTTCTTGTCAGTCCCTCCCTGGCTGGTTGAAATGCCTTGGTCAGGGAAGGTTGTCACATCCAGAATCACCCGGCACAGGGCTTCAGGAGCTGCACTCCTCGCAGTGACAGGAGAGGATATACCGGTAGGTGGCGGTGAGTCTCATGCCCCCCGAGCAGCGCAGCCGCAATGCCTTCAGCTTGGAGGTCTGGGGCCGACAGCAGTGACAGGAGGAGCGGAAGGGTTGCTTGAGGACAGTACTGAAGGACACCAAGGGCTCAGAGCGAGACACCTGACTGCAGTGTCCCTCGCACCTGGCCAGGAGCACCATCTGGGGAGAGAAGAAAAAATGGTTACCTTGTGGGGATGCCAAAACCTCAGCCAGCTACCACAGTGTCCTTTGAATGGCCCTATTGTTGTTAGCTGCCATCAATTTGACCCCCAACTCATGGTGACCCCATACACAATGAAAAAAAATTTGCCTGGTCCTCCATCATCCTCATAATTGGTTCTATGTGATCTGTAAGGTTTTCATTGGCTGATATTTGAAACTAGATCATCGGGTCTTCTTTCCTAGTCCATCTTAGTCTAGAAGCTCCACTGAAACCTGTTCAGTATCATAGTGGTATGCAAGCCACCATTGACAGACAGATGGTGGCTGCAGTTGCAGTGTATTGGCCAGGAACCAAATCTGTCTTTCCACACAGAAGGTGAGAATTCTACCACTGAAGCACCAATGCCTCCTTGAAAGGCCCTAACACTCCAAAAAACTGCCTTTCCAATTCCTGCTGGATTAGACCAGTGACTTTCAATCCTGGTTTCACATTAGAATTTTCTAAGAAACTTTAAAAGAAAAACCTAGGTGGATATGAGACATGCATTTGTCAAAATCCATAGGACTGTACAAGAGAAAATATTTAACTCTAACATAAACTGTGGTATTTAGTTAATAATAATGTATCAGTATTGGTTCATCAGTTGTAACAAATGTACCACATTAATGCCAAATGTTAAGAATAGGAGAAACAGGAGGGAGAAGTATGAACTATATTAGAACTCTGTTCTTTCTGAGCAATATTATGTAAGCTTAAAGCAGCTCTAAAAAATTAAGTTTATTTAAAATGTGTGTATACATACATATATACATACACACACACACACACACACACACACACACACATTTGTATATGGCAATATATCAACACCAAGGCCAATTGAATCAAATCTCATAGCAACTGAATCAAAATCTTTGGAGCTAGGACCCAAGCATCTATATTTTTTCCAAGCTTCTTAGGGGAAATAAAAATAAAAGAACAAGTTTCTGCTGACAGATGGTGGCCTACTCGCTGCCCAATGCCAATTCTAACAGAATCAAAATGCAGAAAGTCTTTCTAAATTGAAATCAAGGAATAAATAAAGAATGACTACATTAAAAGGGGATTTTGTGTGCGTGTATGTGTGTAGGGAACACTTTTGTTAGGTATCATTGAGTTAGTTCCAACTCACAGTGACCCCATATACAACAAAAGGAAACACTATCCTGTCCAGTGCCATCTTCGTAATTGTTGCTGTTTGAGTCCATTGTTGCAGTCACTGTGTCAATCCACTTCCTTTAAGGTCTTCTTTTTCTCAGATGCTCTTCCTTCCCAAGCACGATGTCTTTCTCCAGGATATCCCTCCTGATAACATATCCAAAGTATGTGAGATGAAGTTGCACCATCCTCCCTTCTAAGGAGCATCCTGGCTAGGTAGAGGATTTGTTTGTTCTTCTGGCAGTCTATGGTATTCTTCGCTAACACCATAACTCAAAAGCATCAGTTCTTCTTTGCTCTTCTTTATTTCTCATCCAGTTTTTGCATGCATATGAGGTGATTGGGAGCTCTCGTAGCATAATGGCTAAGGCAATTGACTGCTAACCAGAAGGCTGGCGGTTCAAACCCACCAGCCACTCCTCAGAAGGAAGATGGGGCAATCTACCTCCGTAGTGATACTGCCTCAGAAACCCAAGGAGGGGTCGCTGTGAGTCGGGTCCGACACATAACAACAACAACAACGAAGTGATTGAAAATACCATGGCTTGGGTCCAGCATACTTTAGTCCTCAAACTGACATCTTTGCTGTTTAACACTTGAAAGAGGTCTTTTGCAGCAGATATACCCAAAGAAATATGTTTTCTGATTTCTTGACTGCTGCTTTGATGGGTGTTGATTGTGGATCCAAGTACAATGAAATCCTTGACAATTTGCAAACTTTCTCTCTTTATGATGATGTTACACATCAGTCCAGTTGTGAGGATTTTTGTTTTCTTTATGTTGAGGTGTAATCTATACTGAAGACTGTATTCTTTGATCTTCATCATAAGTACTTCAAGTCCTCTTCACTTTCAGTAAGTAGCATTGTGTTGTCTGCATATCCCAGGTTGTACTTTGGCTCTCATGAATTTGTTTTAATTATCAGCAGCTTCAACTTGAACTTGCATATAAGAAATTGATAGCTGTTCCATAGTTGGCCCCTGGACTGATAATATTGAGCTTCTACATCATCTCTGTCCACAGACATAGTTGATTTGATTCCCTTCTACTCCATATGGCAAGATCCATGTGTATATAACCTTTTATGTTGTTGAAAAAAGGTATTTCCAACGAATAGATCATTGGTTTTGCAAAATTCTATCACACAATTTCCCACATCATTTCTATCACCAAGGCCATATTTTCCAACTATAGATCCTTCTTTGATGCCAACTTTTGCATTCCAATTACCAGTAATTATCACCGCATCTTGATTGCATGTTTGATCAATTTCAGACTGTGGAAGATGGTAAAAATCTTCAATTTCTTCACCTTTGGCATTAGTGGTTGGTGGGCAAATTTGAATAATAGTCTTATTAACTGGTCTTCCTTGTAGGTGTATGGATATTATCCTATCACTGACAGTGTTATACTTCAGGATAGATCTTGAAATGTTCATTTTGGCAATGAATGTGATGCCATTTCTCTTCAATTTATCATTCCTGACATAGTAGAATATATGATTGGCCAGTTCAATATAGCCAAAACCAGTCCAGTTCAGCTCACTAATGCCTGGGATATTGATCTTTAAGGGTTTCTTTTTGTTTTTGACAACTTCCAATTTTCTTCAATTCACACTTCATACATTCTATATTCCTATTACTAATAGATGTTTCCAGCTGTTTCTTCTCATTTTGAGTCATGCCACATCAGCAAATGAAGGTCCCATGAGCTTTACTCCATCCACATCATTAAAGTAGACTCTGCTTTGAGGAGGAAGCTCTTCTTTAGCTCTTCTCTTACTCTATTTTGAGTGCCTTCCAAACTTAGTGTTGGAACACCTTGTAGGTGTTAACTATATCAGACAATATTCCACTGTTAATCATAAGGTTTTCACCGGCCAATTTTTTCAGAAGTAGCTCTCCAGGTCCTTCTTCCTAATTTGTATTAGTCTAGAAGCTCTGCTGAAACCTGTCCACCTTGGGTGACCTTGCTGGTATTTTAAATACTACTGGCATAGGAGCTCTGGTGGCATAGTGCCTAACGTATTTGACTGCTAACCAGAAAGCTGGCAGTTCAAACCCACCAGCCACTCCTTAGAAGGAAGTTTGGGAAATCTTTCTTCTGTAGAGACACTGCCTTGGAAACCCAAAGAGGGGTTACTATGAGTAGGAAATGACTCGACGGCAGTGAGACTGATGTAGCTTTCCACCACCACAGCAACACACAAGCCACCACATTATAAGAAACTGACAGATGTGACAGGTAAGTAGTTGGTGTAGGGAATAGTTAAAGAAAAAGAACATAGTTTCTGAAGAAGAAACAGAAGGCAACATGAGTGGTACTTCAAAAAAAAAAAGTAAATAACTGCCATTGAGTCAAATCTAATTCATAGTGACCTCTCCTTGGGTTTCTGAGGCAGTATCTCTATGGAAATAGATTGATGCTTAGGAAGAAAAATTGGGGGCACTATAACTTGGGATAAGATAATGAAGTAGAGACAGACCATGTTTTGGGCCCTGGAATCACACTTCTGGACTTGTAAAGAAGGAGCCTAAGATTTTTGTAAGCACATCTTCATCGTACTTAGGGTTAATGTTAGGATGCATCCATTCTGACCATCTCCATTCCCCCCGGTATGTTAGGATGATAACAGTAATAGGGGCTGTGTGTTGAGAATCTGATGAAAAGTTATCCCCAGACAAATATGCATAAGCACACACCCAATATTTGGCAGACAGTTTAAGAGAGCGAATCAGAGACTCATTTAAGTATACCAATAATTTTTGTTCTAGCTTGAGTTGGTATCCTGGAATTCGAATTCATAGGTGGGATAGAGTGAGGCATCTTGATTTATTAAGCTATATCTATATAATTCTGTATATTTGGGTGAGATTGGATGGCACTGAGATTATTAGTTCATGTTTATGTGGGAGGGTCTTCCTCACTGAAGCTCATATTAGGTGATGGAGAAAATGCCTGATAATTCCAAAACTGACAATAAGAACATAAAAAGTGGAACTATGAAAATAAAAGATTAAAAGACACACATCTACATATGAAATCTTTTTACATTTACTTTAAGATATTTTAAGAGCTAGTAGTCATTATTAAAGACTCTCCAGCTTTATCTCTGACATCATCCTATAGGACAGCGTTAAACATCCAAGGATTAAAAGAAGGAAATGACCTGCCTATCTTTCCAAAAAGGGGGAAAGGTGATGTCTTAGGCTAGGTTCTCTAGAGGAGCAAAACCAGTGAAGTTTATATAAATTTCAAGGGAATGACTCATGCAGTTGTGGAGGCTGGAAAGTCCCAAATCCGTGGGTCAGGCATCAGGCTGGAGGTTTCTCCTGACTCATGTGGTTGCAGTGGATGAGGAACCCAAAATCAACAGGTAAGGCAGAAGGGTGCTGGCTCATGGGGTTGCAGGAGCTGGTGAATCTCATAATCTGCAGAGCAGTTGGCAGGCTACTGGCTCACATTCCAAGAATCAGAGGTCAGAGGATGATGAGTCAGATGTAGAATCGAGAGAGATCCAGCTTTGCCAGAACATGCATATGTATTGGATAACGGCCATATTCCCAAGAAAACTCCCCTTTGAACTTATTGGCTGCTCACATTAGATCACTGAAATGGAAGACTGTTATATAATGTCTGCCAAAGCACTGAGAACCATAGCCTAGCCAAGTTGACACATAACCTTAACTGTCACAGATGACTTCTGGTAATTGTAGATCATTAACATCATTGTTTGAGAAGACTCTGGGATAAATCCAACAATCACTTAGCAATCACTTTCTCTCTGACTAACTTATTT